AGCCCAACAATTATGAAACAAGAGATTCCTCGAAACCCAACTTTTCTTCGTATAGACTTTCTTTGCCATGCTGCCAATTAGCAAAGTAGTCGTCCATATAGCGAACTACTGATTTAGGGATTAAAAGTGCCTCCTGAATTAAGCATTCCTCAAATTGAGCCATATATTTTTCTGGTAAAATTGATGGCAAACACGATCACATAGTTACACATCGTGTTTGTTCGTACAGTTTACGATTAAAGGTAAAATATGTACAACGTCTCACCAACAAAAGGCTGGCCACAGAAGCACACAATTTCGTAGCGGCCGGATCGTAATTTCCTTCGAAAATATGTCATAACAGAATAAAGTGTGATGGTTTCTTTGAACACTGTTTTTATCCTCCACTTTCTCATTAATTCGTCTGATGGCATGACGACAAATTAGAATATAGGAAAAGTTCTCAGCTCGTCTATCATTGTCTAAATAGTCTTCGTCTGAAAATTCATTCCTCAGTAAAGAGACATTATTCTCAATTAGTCCCAATGGATGGAAGTAGATCTAAAGATCTATAGATGAACTTCCGTCATTTTGGTCCCAAAAATAGGACAGTGCTTTTTCAACACAACCTGGAGAAGCTTAGGACACATCCACTGTTTCAGCCGCCTCCGTAGCTACATATTTTACATTATATTCAAGCGCGCATATTAGCTGATCCCAGTTTTGCGAATGATGTTATCGAACCTAGAAAATAATATTTTTTGGGAGACTTTCATTTTCTAGGAAAGTGTATGAAAAATAGAGATTCGAAGGTCGATCTCATCAGAAAACGACAATGAAGAGACATCCTCCCTCGTTTCTTTTGAAAACGGACTGACCTTTCGCCAATTAGGATGGGCATCATCAGAGCTGGAACTCATTCTTGTAAAAGTACCACGTTGACTAAACCAAATTGAACCTCGCACTAAAGCCAAACGGCTGCAGTACAACGGGAATCAGCCGTCCTCTTCTAATCAGGTCGACCTTCGAATCTCTTCTTTATGCACTTTAATGCGTAACGAAAGTCTCTCCAACAATGTTATCTGATGAGATTCATCGAAACCCTTTATGAATAATTGTCTTTAACATAGCTTGCATAAAACATTGAAAACAAATTCATAAACATGTCTTAGCATTCACCTAATTTTTATTTTATTCTTTAAACAATTCTTCATTTTAACAGCGTGAATTGAGCTCTTCCTCCCGTCGAATTACTTTGCTGTGTAATCTGACTGAACTAGTGGTCTATCTCGGTCTTATCTGTCACCAAGCTGTGCTAAGCCGCTCTTCATCCTCGTACTGCTCTCCTTCCGGCCATAAACCCATCACCTCCACTCTATTTGACACTTACTTTGGCCCTACTGCTCGGATGGGCTTATTGACTCTGCTCTTTTGCACTCGCGTATACTCAGCAGGCCGGAAACTAGCTGGCTGGCATTGGTGGTTGAGATGGCGCCACAGTGAGTCGCCGGTCAGTAGTTCGCCTACATGGAGCTTTGACGGTCTTCACATAGTTCCGCAGCATGAGTTGGCCCGTCTTCTTGTAAGCGGAGAGGATGAAGTGTGCGCTATATGCTACGCTGCCTGGCGCGCTAGCCTCTTGCCCTCAGAAGGAGCCAAACACCGTACAGAGCTGCCGTCAATGCTACCAAATACAAGGTCCAGTGGTCCTGAGGGCGAAATGGAATTTTCTTTGGAAAATCCAGCCGTTAAGGCGATGGATTCATTGGAAGTCATGGGACTTGGAAGACTAATGGAGGAGAAACGATGTATTGGGTCGAATGATGGAGCGAAAGA